GACACCTCTTACTCTGAATTATTACATCAAAATGTTTGTGCTGTTGCAATCTTGAGTATGCTGTTCAGGTGTGTATCTGTAAGCTGCAAATCTACAATGATGTGGCAGCAGCAGAACTGGAAGAAAAAGCAGAAGACAGCCAGTTCCACTGTGGGCCTGATAGAAGCCCTCTGGGGGCCTAATCCTGCCCCCGGGGCCGCATGTTTGACACCCCTGCATTATTGCATAATTTACATTGTGCAATAATGTATCAGTAAGTAATAAAGTTTGCCCTCCAAAGGGATGAGCTGTATTAGCTGTTAACTGTTTACAGAATGCACGCAAATAGCCCAATGCTTCACTCATTCTAGATTTAAATTAACCAGATGGGAGTAGCCAGATTTCTTGTAAAAGGTTCAATTCAGATGCCAAAAGCAAATGTGTGCAGATATAAATACAACGCCTACTGCAATGCCTACTGAATTTAATCTTTTCTATTTGAATTAAAAACCTTTTAAATGCCTATTATTGCTTACTGAAATCAAAATCAGAACAAAATATGTAAATTTTATTTTATTGCAAGCAGATTTGAACATCTACCCCTTTATACAATCTACAGAAAGGTCCAAAATATGAATATAAAGAATTCTTGTTCATATATCTACAGAAACAAAAGATTAAAAACAGCACTGAAAATAAACTTTACATTAATGCACAAGTGTACATATAATATACTTACTGAGACTGCTTTGATCCAGTTAATGAAGTGTAATAGATTAGTCTAAACAGTAGTTCTGAAGGCTGAATTATCAGATAAGTGCACCTATCATTGTACCATTTAAAAATATGTTGGTATTTAGTGCTGATGACTACAGATACTTTGAATGGTTAATGCACTGATAACTAAGTCCCACCATTTTCCGAAAGCATTTTTGCTGACTCTACTTTACATTATAGAATAAAGGAGTACTGAGAATGACAGAGCACAGGACAGAATTTTTAGACCCCATGTACAATTAAAATTCTGTGTAATTTTGACAAAGGTAAAGCTATGTAAGCTGATGTGTGCAGTTGTGTCAAATACAATCAAGTACGCTTTTCTCTTTTGTAATACTTTGACAGATTTCCATTAAAGCTTTTTAAACATGATCTCATTAATTTCACAAACTAGTGCAGTTTTCTTCCTCTGTTATTTGCGATATAGTGGGATAGACAGACTGATGCAAGCAGGAGGATAAATGGTAGGCTTCTTACATTAAGTAGCTGAAGAATGATCACTCAAGATCCCAAAAATTAAAAGAACGAAATCTTACTACTAACCACTCTTCAAGAAGACGTGAGCATGAACAGCAGTACATTTTTACTCTTCATGATCATTTGGTTGGTACCCATAAGTTCCAACACACTTATTAAAGCATCCGAAAAATTTTCTTGTTAAACGTTTAACCATTCAAACATGCCAATTTGAGTTACACAGGCTGCGGGCACACGGGCAGGAAAATGCGGGGGGGAGGGAGCGTGGCTGTTTGCCCTGGGGCTAAAAACCGCGCGGTTGTGCGAGCAGACCTACCGTGGAGGTCCCATGGAGGTTCCGTGGTAGGGGGGAGGTGCTGATCACTCCACAGTCCTGCGGCGCGGCAAAGAAGCGGGGCGCGGCGCAAACGGGGTTGGGGTTTTTTTTAAACTCAAATGTGCGCATGCTCCCTTGGGTGCTTGTGCGCATCTGTGGAGACTTTGGGAAAAAAACCCTTTTTGCGAGGGGACATGGGCGGGCGCCGGAACTACCACCGGAAACGCCTATCTTCCGTTCTTCTAGCGTGCCTAATGCTCCGTGTGACCGCAGCCCTAGGCTGCAATTTTTCTCCATATAAACATCTAATCAATTTGGTTGGGTTTTAAAACATTCTTATTAAAACCCATTGATTCTTAGTCAGTTGTTGAACCTATCCGTGCATTGCCTTGAACAAGAACAGTCTTTGCAGAGGAACAGATTACCGAGCACAGATTGCTGTTCTGGAGTCCCCCCCCTTCCTCACATCCAGGCCCCCCCCCCGGTGCAGGAAAAATTCTCCTCTTCCACCACTACAGTGCAGCACAAACCCATTACTCAATCACCTGTTCGAATGTGGGAAATTATACTGCACCATCACTGCCAGCTGATCAATACCGGCAGAATTTGCAGAATCAGTCATTTGTTTGGAAGTGAAGAAGAAGAGAAGAGATTGGATTTATATCCTGCCATTCACTACCCAAAGGTGTCTCAGAGCGGCTTACAAACTCCTTTCCCTTCCCTACAACAGACACCCTGTGAGGTGGGTGGGGCTGAGAGAGCTCTGACAGAAACGGCTCTTTTTCAAGAACAGCTCTTATCAGAACTATGGCTTGCCCAAGGTCATCCAGCCAGGTGCAAGTGGAGTAATGGGGAATCAAACCAGGTTCTCCCAGATTAGAGTGTGCGCACTTAACTACTACACCAAACTGGCTTGTATACAGCAGGATGTGTGTACTCTACTACTGCATATGATAATCTCTGGATTAAATTCCAACTTCTACCACAACAGATCACACTTGAATGTCCATAATGGAAAGGGGACAAAGGAAAGATCAGAGTGCAGAGGTTATAGGTTATATAAGCTTATATAGCTTTTTTTTCCATTTAGGGGGGATATTTTGTAGAGTTCCAATTGCTTATGGAATTATTTATTATTATTTTATTTCATTTGTACCCCACCTTTCTTCCCAGTGGGGACCCAAAGCAGCTTACATTATACTCCTCTCCTCCATTTCACCCTCGCAACAACCCTGTGAGGTAGGTTAGGCTGAGAGAGTATGACTGGCTCAAGGTCACCCAGCAAGCTTCCATTACACGAATTTGAACCTGGGTCTTCCAGATACGAGTCCAACACTCTTAACCACTACACCTCTTTCAATGCCAAATCCTATTTCTTCCCCTTCCCCTGAAGTAATACAATGAAACAAAGTTTAACAAATATCAACAGCTACCATTAAAGATCCCAGCCTGTTAATGATTATTCAGTGTTTAGGGAATAGTTGAGATGTAAGAAGGTTTCAATAAACCCTTTTGCTAGTAGGTAAAGCAGGAATGCAGCATTTTCAGAACCTCAAGCAAGACTCTTCTTATTTAAGGCTAAAAGGATGGCAATGAAGAAACAAACAAAAACAGGATAAGCTTTACAGAACATAAATACAGGAATAGCAGCAGCAGTTGATTATAAGCAGAAGCCGTACTGCATAAAAAACTACCTAGCAAAAGCATGGGAAAAAAGGCGGAATAAGCATCAGTGGCTTTGGATGTATCTGACAGTATAACCTTCTTCTAATTTTAACATTCATCAGAATTTCAACATTCAATCACAATTCCACTATAAGCTACATTTTTTGAGATCTGTAACTCATAAGTATAAAACAACTCTCTAAGACATACGCTTAAAAAAATAGAAATGGTGTGTTAACAAATGTTGCGTAAAACAGATATATAAATAGCTACAGTATTGAAAAATATTTCAGTGCAAAGGCAATTTTAAGATTTTCTTTTAAAAAACGCATTAAAAATAATTCTGTTAACTACACCCAAACAGGAGATTTGTCACTACCACAGGTATAAAATGAATACCCATATCAAGTTGGTTTTAAAAAAATATATATATACACACGCACATATATATGTAACCAGTGTTTTATGTAGGGGTCATATTTACCAGACACTCAAGTATATCATGACAAATAATGTTAACTTTGTTATGTTACTATCGATTTATACTAACGACGCTTTAAAGTGCTTCAATTTAACCACAGAGCTACTAAGATGCCATGCGTCGTCACATGGTGGTGGGGGGGTTACGGAAGCTATTGCCCATTCCTTTTAGTCTCTGTCTTCTTTGGTAAACCGAAGTTTTCACCATTTGTCTCTTAAAATGTTATATTCTGCTACTCCTCCCTATCTCTGCTCATGGAAGGTGAAAGGGGCGTTCCATATTTTTTATCCAGAACTTTAATTCCTCTGAAGTATTCCTTCAGATTTTTGACACCCTAAATAAAACACTGGGTGTGGGTGGGTGGGATAAACAAGACTGGTATGAGTCTGCTATGATCAAGACCAGCATGAAGCAAAACGAGAGCCACAGATAGAGGACTGAAGTACAAGCTGGCTATAATGGTTTTAAATTATTGGTGCAGCTTTTGTGCAATCACAGCGTTTGTGTAATCACTCAGCGAAGTACAGCTGAGTCCCCACTCAGAAAGAGCAAAATGCCATCTAGTGGTTATTTAGTAGTCATGGCTGTGCCTTCATAATACAGTAGTCCTTCTGTTAGCCTGTTTCCTCACACTCTTCCCTGCTGCTCCTCCAAAAGTCAGTATCTAAAATATTTTATCCTTCTATAAAATTATTAAGGACTCAGCTACGTCCTTGCCCCAACAGGGGGAAAAAAACCCCTTAGGGCAGCAAAACACTTCCCAAACATCCACACACTCTCTCCATTTCAGAGGTAGCAAAAATGGTAGAACACTGGTTCATTTATTATTCAGAAGGTCTTAAGAATAATGTCTTAGGATGAATTCTTAAATTCAATAATTATTTTTGATATACCTGGCGGCAGCCAACTTCACCCGTTTGATAGCCAGCTCGACTTCTTAATGTCTGTACAGACTCTAAGTAGAAATGTATTGGTCTACTGGGGAGAAATGATCCTAATAGCATATAGTTCTACTTGGCGACTTACAATAAAATGGATATTAGAGAGTGTTTCTTGAAAGCAGATTTGCACAAAGGAAACACCAGTTTGTTCTACAGAAAGAACAAAGAAAGGACAAAGACAAGTCAGAAACAGCACCTGTTAATATGCTCTCTGATCAATGCTAGTGACCGAAAATGTTTAACCATTGATTTCAGAAGTGGATCATTGACTGAAGCAACACATTTCAAACAATAAAGGACAAGGGATAACAGAAGCAATACACACATAAATGTTTTGACAGAATGGAGTGAAATTCTAGTGCTGTCGATTCTCACAGTGCCAGACTGTGTAGGTAAATCCATTGTTTCAGCAGTTTCAGACATAAAAAGGACAGTACTTGGCGCTCTTGATCCAATCTGTTAGGTTATTACACCAGTTAGTAAAACCCAACAACATTTCAATCAATGCTATTTAAATGGTTGTTTGCTGGGCTCCAGGAAGTGGGGAATAGTTGTAGTTCTTAAAGGCTTGAGTTGGTGATCTGTCACAAAGATGTTTCCAAATCTGAACCCCTTTGGTAGTACCCCATACCAGCATTGCAACGTTTATTGGAATAGCTAAAGATAGATGGGAGTATTGAATAATCACAGTTTCTCCAATGTGTAAACATTGTTTTTTTAGAACGAGAACTAGACCTTCTTGCTTGGGAATTCTTGCAGTCATTGCTCCTGTATCTTGTACCCTTTAGAGAGGCAAGAGGTGTGAATTCTGAAAAATGGTCCCGACCATGGCTTGATGTATTCTGGCAAGAAAATAAACAATATATTAAGCATTTATCATAATAATTAACTAGAAGCTTTCATTATGGCATCTGTCACTTCAGAGGGGCTTTATGGCAATGGATGTATAATTATCAATACAGGACAGATATGCCCTTTACAATGAAAACACAGTCTGAAGGGAGGAGCAATTTCAATTAATTTTAATTCACCATTATTTAAATAATGTTAACATTCTTCACTTTACAGATCAGGAATTGAAGATTTTTTAAACCATCCACTGTAATGCTTTTGTGGTGTTTTTAAAAAATCTGTGTTTGTCAAGAATGCAAAGTGTTAAGATGCTTATTATTTTGCACTTTGGAAAACTGATGATGTCTTCACAGCTGGATGACTCACATCCTTGACATTTGTCAAACCTCTCCAAAGAATGAAATCATGTGGATTATTTTAATTTTGAGATATCACAGCTGTATGTTCTGAGTTGTCCCCAACACGAATCAAAAAACTCTTGGCTGATTTTCAGCAGGGACCATAAAGCTCACATGGGGGGGGGGGTGCAATTTACAAATCTTGGGATGGCATTAAAATTTGGGGGGGTCAAACAGGAAGGCTTTGTGATTTTTGGCAGTCTTTTCTCTCAATTTTCTGTCAGGCCAGCAGAAGATTATTGTTTTCTGTTATTCATGCCACTCAAAGGGTAAAATCCCAGGTCTCTCCCCCAGGCCCTTAAAAAAGCGATGTACAACAAACTAGAATGAAACCTAAGGAAAATGTATTTTGCAGTACCTGCAAGGACTTGTGGAGGGTACCTCACTTTCCTGTATCCCCCTCCCCATACTATTCCTTCTTTCCTCTTTCTGGCAACCTCCACATCCTCATCTTTTCTTTCTTCCTACTCTCCACCCCACCCACTCACCAGCCTACCTTTTATCTGCCACTATTTTAACTATTTATTTATTTCATTCATACTCCACCTTTCTCCACAATGGGAACCCCAAATAGCTTACATTATTCTTCTCTCCTCCATTTGATCATCACAACAATCCTATGAAATAGGTTATGCTGAGAATGTATAACTGGCCTAAAGTCATCCAGTGAGCTTCCATAGCATAGTCTGCGTACAGTCCTAGGTCTCCCAGATCCTAGTCTGAAACTCTTAACCACTGCACCACACTTGCTCTTCTGCAGTACCTGCTTTTGAATAGTAGCAAGCAGCCAGGCCTGCCAGTGGTTGTTGGGGGGGGAGTGTCTGGCCCCAATGAGTTCTCCCTCAAAGGCCAAAACAGGTCTTTTACTCTGCCCCTGTCTTTTACTGGCAGAAACCAAAGCTTGAGGTCTGGCAATAGTGTTGTGGTTGCTTAGCAACCCCAACAAAGGTGAATGAGGGCATTAATTTCTTCAGGTTACAGGTGCTGCTAATACTGTTTTTAAGATGTCAAATTTTTCTGTAAACCTATGCTTTTTCAGATTTGTAGAAAGATCTGTCCTGTCTATTCATGGCTCCAGTCTCCAAATTTAACTATCCACAAATTCAGCCATGCTGAGAATTAGATACACTAATTATTAAAATTGCCTGTCCTGCAGTGTTGTTTTTATGTCCTTAACTTGTGACTCTGGATGCATTCAATTATCATACTCCATACTTGATAGGTAGTAGTGGATTAAAGGTTAAGAAGCGCCTTTCTATATCTTCAGCTGTACATGCAACAGAATATGTGGGAATTATATGTTCAAACACATTTTTCCAAACCAACATGAAGCAAGCTGATCTGTTCACTGCAAGTGGCTGTAGTGATGCCTACTAGTATAGATGGTTTTAAAAGGGAATTAGACAGATTTGTGAAAGATAGGTCCATTAATGTCTATTAGTTAATACTACAAAAAAAAAAAAACCTCCTCCACATTCAGAGGCAGTAAACCCTGAATAACAAAGTTAGGTGGAAACATCAAAGAAGGTCTTGGCTACTATCCCCTATTTGTTTAGTTCTCCTGGGCAATTAGATATCCACTGCATGAAACATGATGCTGGACTAGATAGACCACTGGTATGATTCCCCAGGGCGCACCTTATTTGGAATACACTACAAAGAACCTCGATCATTTGAGCTTTGGAATCACGTTGAAGAAAAAATGTTTACTTTCTTGAGTGCTGCTTTAAACGTAACCTTTTAAGATCAAATCTGTAAATGTTATTTTCTTCTGCTTACTTGTGATGCGCAAACAGGGATCTCGTGTATATTCACTGGTGAGAGGCATGAAGGCTAAAGATGAGTTTATGCTTGCGTATCTGTTTTTAGTATTGTTTTCTTTTCAAATTGGCCCAAACAATATCTTTCCTTATAGTCTGTGTTTTCATCTTGCATAGATGCTTAAGAAAACAAGTGATTTACCCTGAATATAAGTTCTATGCTAATTTTGCTTCACTGTAGTACAAGGCTGTAAAGGCAGGGCAATTAAAAGACAAGACCTGTGTCATTAATAACTTATGGAAATTATTCCATAGAACTCTGAGAAGAAAAGGTACTTTGGTTTTTGTTCAAGCCAGTGTTAAAATCACCAGTTCAATTGTAATATAAATGTTACAGGTTGCTTCCCAAAGGCAGCTTATGCCTAGATGTGAGTCCTGCCATCAGTTCTCATTTGAAGCGCGAGTGACCAACCAACCAGCAATGACCGACCAATAGCAAACAGGAATTCATATTTCATTAAGGCAGTGACCATGCAGATAAATCCTATGGAAATCAACATCCAGATCAAAACAAAATTTGTTGTTTATTAAATCAGCCTCTCAAAACACATTATTAAGTTCTACCACACAACTTACCTGTGCTTTGAAAAACATGGAAGACAAATATAACTTCAAAATCCTGGAAAATTACATTTTATCTGGTAAAGCACAGCAAAAACTCTGGAGGAAACGGTTTTCTTTGAAAGCATCACAGCACACCAATAGAAATTACCAAAATGGTAACACGTGCAGTACTGTTACCTATCAATGATCTAATTATGCCTCAGAAGCCGAAAGGGTTCCTTCAAGAAGTGGCCCATCGCTGTTCGCCAATGCATTTAGAGTTGTTTTATGTTTCATAATCTTCTGCAAGGATGAGGAAAAATACTGAGACTACAGTTTAATATGAGCATCTCAAGGAATTAGGAAAATGTAAATGGTGACACTAGGATGGTTAAAACAATACCAAATTGTCGCAACCGATAATGAAAAGCTAACAGGTTTAAAGTACAGTAATGGTCTGAAGCAGTAGAACAGATTTAGAGTCCAGTGGCACCTTTAAGACCAACAAAGGTTTATTCAAGGTATGAGTTTTCATGATTTGAAACAGTGTGCCTTGCACATGAAAGCTCATACCTTGAATAAACCTTTGCTGGTCTTAAAGGTGCCACTGGACTCTAAATTTGTTCTAATGGAGACATTATTATTTATTATCATTGAATACTAAGCTTGACATTCACATCTGTAGCTGACACTAGCCCATATTAATCAGTCTCTTGTGGTATGTTGTCATTTACAGAAGACTGCAGTGCATGGTTCTGAAAGAACTATTGAAAACCGCTTGTTCCTACAATATTTGTTCCATTACAAATTAATCCCCACATTCTCTTTCTGTAAAGAACACGTATTATCCTGAACTTGTTATACCCCCAGTTCAGAGGCTGAGGCCTGCTTTCCCACAGTGCATCTTAAGATATGGGTCAAGATGGTATAAGAAAACTCTGGCCTAGGAAGAACAAAGGCAGGAAGTGAAAGGAAGCGAGGAAACACAGAAGCTAGACTAAGAAGAAGGAATTTATGGGAATAACCCAATAAAAAGCATTTAGCAATGCCCCACCAGAAGATTATCAGATCATGATTAAGGACATAAAGTAATTTTAAATTTAAATTTATCTCTGTGCCATGACTGGCAAGAGTTTGGCAACATTTTGGATGAACCCATCTAATCTTCATACCAAAGCCATCAAAACTTTATACCAAAACCAACCCATCCACCCAACCAAGTACTACCATGCCCAATTTGCCCAACGAACCTACCATCCTCTTGTGACTTATCAGCGGCCAACTTACTCCAAGTATGATACAATCTGGTCAACCCTCTCCTCTTTATTTTTGCTGTTTCCAAGTCCAGAAAGAAAATAAACTTGTTTGTCCTATAACTGGATTCCATATTTACTTAAAGTCTATGCGCGTCGGTCTGCCTATCAGGGGCTATCCACGTACTGAGGGTTGCTCCAGCCTGACCTGTTTGGCACATGATACGTGGCCCTCATTTCTTTGTCTTGGCCTTACTAGCTACACAGTGTGTGGATCTCTATCATCAGTGCTGGATTCTCTCCTAAATTTCAAGATTACTACATTCCCTCTCTACTGCACTTTCACCTACCATCTTGCTCCTCACTACTCCCTAGTCTTCCACATCTAAATAAACTCTAGAGATGTGTGTCTGACCATGTGGAATAATAACTGTTGCAGGATAAGTAGCAGGACTGTTTCCGTCAGTCCACTGAAAGGGTAAATGAAGATCACCCATAAAGTTAATATGCACTACACACAGATAAATGGTTACACTTATTACTAAAACAACTCTGCCATGTGATTCAAATTCTTTTGTCATTTTCAGAAGGAACTTGCCCGTTCCCTCAATCCTAAAATCCCTTTACAGTGCATTGATTAAAGGATGGAACTCAACAGTCCTGAACATTCCTTCCCTAAACACCCATTTCTGATTTCTATAAGAAAACAACAAAAAGGTGCACATGGCTGAAATCAAAACAAGTGAAATAGTTACTTGCATTGTTTTCAGATATACTGTTTGGCATTTCAAACACTTGTTTCAGTCAGGAATATCTTTTGATTTACTTGCTGAAGTTTTTAATAAACTGATAAATTGAAACTCGAAAAAGAATGTAAGTTTTGAAGTTGAACAACTGATAAATTTACGCTACGAGTCTTGCTGTTAGAAACAGCGGGGGGGAAAGTTAAGTTGAAATGAAGACATGTTAGTACAAATTTGTAATTAAAACTGATAATTATATATGATTGAAATTGATAATTATATATGATTGGCACAAATGAAGAAGCGACTATAATGCATGAATTCCCAGCTAAAGATTAAAATGAGAAAAATAGACCAGCATCATCAAACATTCTTGAATCAGCAAAGGAAACAGGATTTGGTTTGTAATTTACCAAAAGAAACAGATTCCTCCAAAGCTTTTGCAGAATGATTACTATAGTACAAAGAAAAGCAGTTTGCATACTTTTTAACCCTTCTGGAAACAGAGAATGAAACTCACTCTCCCCCACAAATGTTGTAATACACTTGCTTGCTCACCACACACAGAAATGACAGCTGAACAGCATATGGTAAGAAATCAACTGGGAGGGAAAATCAGATTTGAACTTGCAAAACTGAAAAAGAAAAGCTTAGGAATAATCTCTAATTAAAATATTAGGCTGAAGCCATCTCAAACACCAGCTACTTGTTGGTCAGTTTTGCATCCTTCCCATGTGACCCATGCATTTCCAAATTACTAAACAATTAAAAAATAAAAATTAATAAAATTAACAAATGCTATCTGTTACTATACATATTGCCACTTAATATTGCCAAAAATAATTTCTTAAATCCTTTCAAAAACTTCATATTCTATAGAGAAGGGCAATGCAAGGAAAAAAAACCCTTTGCATGAAAAACTAAGCAGCAGTGGGGGGAAAACGTGTTGCCCCATATCAAAAGAAAATGCCATTCTGCATGAAGCTGGAAACAACAGTAACACTAATCACTGTGCTCAGGAACTTCCATCACATCTTTGTGCGGTGACCAATCCAATTAGGTGACTGCAATGTAAACACTATGTGTGCATTCATCTATGAAAAACCACTAGCACTTAGCACTTTAAAAAAACCTGAATGGAACCACCAGCACTTAAAGAGAATGGACCTCGAGATAGAAATGCTCTATAGTGCATACACAGAATGAGAAAGATGATACAAATAATGACTTATAGTATGCAGACACACTTGGAAACAGAAAGAGGGAAAGCCTGTGGAAACAGTTTAAGTACAGACATGTCGAAGTACAGCTAGGAACACCAAGTACCACAAACAGCTTGTGACCATGAATGCACTTCTTAAAGTCCTCTGAATAAGATGGCCAAGCATGCAGAAAGGCAGGAAAAAAATATCACCTTTTGCTCCATTAGAAAGTTAAACTGCTTGAAGTCTGAGAAAGCATAAAGATGGTGGACTGCTCAACAGAAAGGCACTGATGTTTAGTCTGATTTCCCCAGAAGATTGAAGCAAGTACCCGTGAGCATCATTTATAGTTTAAAGCAAGGGAGCAGTTATTTAGGAAAAGAAGGTTGGGAGACAGGAACACAGAGGGAAGAGAAGAAACACAAGGAATAAATCGGATTAAATGCTAAAAGCTTTCTAGTGCATATAACTAAGTAACATTACTAATGCTAAGCTTAGAAAGTTCACATTCAGAAGGCTCTGATTCTATCTATAGGACCATAATACTGAAAAGCGGTAACCCTAGACAACTTGTCACAGCATTACTATTTTACCATGTCCCTCTTTAGGTGTGTCTTGATAAAGTCACCAAGTGCAAATAATATTCCTGATTTCTGCCAGCTTGTGGAGGCAATAACTAAGTTCTACTGGCAGCTGTCAAAATATTAAATAACCCACTGCACGATGTTAAAGGACCGTACTATTTAACATTTACTTAGTGACTTGCTTTGAACTTCTGGTTCTTCTTACAATCTGATCACACCTTCCAAAATAAACTAATTCGATTAATTCATGGAATTAGGACTAAGCATAAAAGAGGGATTTTTTTCCTGTTACACAATGAACTAAAATAGATAACTCTCTCCATAAAGAAAGTGAGGACTGTCAAAAGCAAGCCACTCCGAGAAATCACAGAATGTACTTGGTAAGTGCTACTAATTTTCATCAGCTAACGTTTTCAGTGCAAAATCACGCCTTTCAATGTCTGCTATGTGTTCTTCAAAGCCCCCTCACTCTTCCATCTCAGCTACTTTTCACAGCTGATTTGCAGCCACTATCAGCTGCTTCTTAGGTAACTGTATTTTTCTCCCCCAAACACCATGTTTTCCTTGCCAACCAGGTACCATGCAGCCAGAGCGATGCCATCACCACACTATATAATCAATGAGATGTGGCTACGTGGAACTGTAATCACAATTGCACTCTGTCCAGCTTCTATAATTATGGGACACCGCAGTCCACATCCATCATTGGTTCATACATTAATGTCTGGCCAAGGAAGCAAGTACATGGGGAAACTCAGGAAAGGAATATATATCTATATATATTGAGATAACCTGCATTAAGTAGTCTAATGGATGTAGTTTATGAAAACTTTAGAATGCAGTTCTAAATGCACTTGACCTCAAGTCCTCTGAACAGAAATATCTGATCGGCTTGTAAATCTTCTAAGTAGGGGCTCTTAATGAATTCCTATAAGCATATAAAGCAAAATGAGGACACAGTATTGTTACCTGGATTCTTTCTGTTGCTGTGGGCCATAAATGCCTGCAAAGAACTTTCTTCAACACATCTGGAAGAAGGCTCAGTGTTATGAGCATTATAATACCCAGCCACGCGGGACCACTAGACAGCATTTGAATGAACACATAGTACATCCTCTGATAATTGAGAAAAGGCCTAATGGGTGGAAGAAGAAAAAAAGAACATGACAATGACGATTTCAATGTGCATAAAGTGCAGAGCACCATTTCACAGAATTTTCTCCTTCTTGTCTATATTGTTTGTCAAAATTCATTAACTGGCACAATACAAGCAGAAAATGTGTTTTCCAAGCAATTCCACCTACAATCTACAAAAAGGAAATCAACTGATTATAGAATTTCATAGCTGGTCTTCCTAGATGCCTGAAAGAATTCTAAGCAAGCCTTGGTTTATTAGAAAGGAAGACACCTCTTTCTTGTCCTTTCCCTAAACTAAGAATTAAAATTAATAGTGATTAACTCCAAGATGAGCTGAATCTTCACAGGCAACAATGAAGTTTGGTCAGCAGACATGAATTTGGGGCTGTTATTTTTATTTCATATTGGCAAGTCATATATAGTTTGCTTTATATACTGAGGCAAACCACTGGTAAATCTAGCCCAGTACTGCATGCTCTGACTGGGCAGTGGCTCTTCAGGGTCTTAAGACCACTCCTGCAAGGCGACAGGACTCTAGAACTGGGGACTCTGACAGTGGGGTAACTTACAGCGGGCAGAGGAACTGGCCAGTCCTTTAAGAAGGGAGAAACAAACATGGTTCTCTGCCTATGAAATTTTGGACAGTCCAATAAGCAGTGTAATAAGGTGCCAAGACTTCCTATTTCACAGCTACAGAATCTTTCAGCTAATAAAGGTAAAGGTTTCAGTAAAGGTTTCCCTTGCTCAAAAGCTAGTCAAATCCGACTCTAGAGGGCAGTGCTCATCTTGGTTTCCAAGCCAGCGCTGTCCAAAGACTTCTCCGTGGTCATGTGTCCGGCATAACTAAATGCTGAGGTGCACGGAACGCTGTTACCTTCCCACCGAAGCAGTACCTATTTATCTACTTGCAATTTCTTGCTTTCGAACTGCTAGGTTGGCAGGAGCTGGGGCCAGAGACGGGAGCTCATTCTTGAACTGCCAAACTACAGACCTTTCAGTTTGCAGCTCTAAAAGCAGCCTGAGAGTTCTGCCACTGGAATTGAGTTAAGTCAGGCCAACATAAAGGCTCATCTACATTTAGGAACCATCAGATAATTGAGATAAGAATATTTTTAGTATGCCAAACCCAAATAAAAGGGAGAGCAAACTCTGCAGGCCCTGAATCTAGAACTGGACTCATCTAAGACATAAAGACGTCTCACAGGGCTGCCAGATCCCACGGTGGGTGGTGGTGGTGGTGGTGGTTGCCTGCTCTAGTGTCCTCCAATCTGCCGGCCAGGGAACCTCATTGGGGAACCCCCCCCCCCAAGAGCCTCATGTACGCTGACATGCCTGGCGTGATGACATCACCCAGAGGTGACATCATTGCGCCAGGCACGTGGCGAGGGGGAACACTCAATCATTTAAGGAAAACACATGATGGGTGATGTCATCGCAGCATGCTGAAAATCTCCAGGACTGGGACCGCCCCTGCCCCCCGTTGCTACCCAGGTAAGACCTGGCAACCCTAACATCTCAAAATCAATTTTCTAACAGATGTTAGATATTGGTATCATTAGGGGAAATCCCCAGGCAATCCAAACCAGAGGTTACCAATTTCTGCCAAGTTGTTTTAAAGGCGCCCAGCCTCGGTAAAATGAGCCCGCAAGTTCCTAAAAAGGCAAAGGTTAACTTGAGCCAAAATCCAAAGGCAACTGCCCAGGCCATTGCTTCTAGGAAATGCACACCTAATTTAGCTCTCAATACGGTTCCTGCCATACAGTGTGGGGCTCCCGTACGGAGTGAAGGGGAATAAATTCAATCTCCTCCTCCTTCTTTGAAGGCAGGAATCCAAATTGGAGTTCTGTATAACAACTGGGCTCCCACCTTAGAGTTATACCCTGAGAGTGCCGTAGGTATATACTGACCTCCCTTAAGAGTAAAAAACCCCAAAATGCGTTATTGCGCTGGTCGTTCATGTGGCTAGTTGTTGGGCCTCCTCCATATGTTGTACTGCTGACTGTAGCCAGGCTCCTGGGAAGTCCGACACTCAGTACAGAGCAAGCTATTACGGACTGCCTGGGAAGTTTGCCTGAGCCTCCTGAATCAGTGAACAGCCTAGCCTGCCTTCCAGCTGCCCCTCCTAGCTGGGATGAGGACTGTCTTAATGCAAAACATGCTTTCTGCCCCACCAAAGCTGCCTTCTTCCCAAAACGTTCAGACGTTAACAGGCTTATTCTTTTCTGGTATGTCTGACTGGCAGTCTTGAATCGGGACTTGCAGCATGAAACTCAAAGCAGAACCACACATGGGCTGTGGAAAATGCTGGCCCTACTGGCATATATTGCTTCATGAGAAACCGTGAGTTAGAAGCTGGGAAAGAGCTTCTACACCGCAGGAGGAGAACAAATCTGGCAAGAACTGAAGCTGAATCATAGTGACCTCATCTGTATGTCCTCCCTCATGTACAGGATGAGGTACTTTTCCCAGTCCTTTTTAGTTTCTCTGTGAAGTGGGTGGAATGTCACCTCTGACATAACCCTAGTTAATTTTACACCACAGAATTCTCAAAAGGATCACTTCAAGCCACACTGACCTGGTTTTCAGTTAGAAAGGGAAGATCAGATGTCTTATCACCTGTTATCGGCAGAAACTCTCCCAGACTACAGCTGTGGCTATAACCTCAAGTATAACTTTCTCTATAGGTAATATAAAATCCATTTTTGTGATTTTGAGCGTGAGACAGAGATAGAGATTTTCCTTATGGTTTACAGCAATTTCTTACCATATAATCCCTCCCCAGAGGAGGGAAAACACAACGTAGAATAGTAGCGATCCCCAGATCACAAAGTGATTGATCCATGTCCAGTGGTGTGTATCCAGTGCAAGCTGCAAGAAAAGACATCTAAGATTAAAATCTGAAGCACGGGAGTTATGTGAAAGGGATGTGTGACTAGAACACAACTAATCAAAAGCCAAACCATATACTGTTCTTTATTACAGTTACTATACAAACTCTGAATTAAAAATCAGCCACTTTTAGGAATAATTAGGGAAGGACCTTATTCTTTGATGTACTGTTGCTTTGCAGTTGTAGTCTTGACATGGGCAGTGGCAGTGAGTCAGCAGATAAGCTATTGGATTGTGTTTAAAATCACTCTCTTTCTTCATATTTTTATTGTGGGGTACGACTACCGAGATCCACCCTGGTATACATAGACCAAAGCTAATTTCCTCTTCTCTGGGTCCAGTTTGGGTAACAATGTCACCTGAAAACAAGAATGTGCTCACAGGCTCCTTTGCATTGAGCTTCTGCCAATCACTGTACTGTCAGAGAGGGTATCTACCGTTTTTTCCATGGCATACATGCAGAGTCTCTGTTTCTAATATGTAATTCTGCCTGCTTGTTTTGAGGTTCTCAAAGGCCAGCTTGGTCTACTCTGTAATGCTGCCTGGCCACCTGGAGATGCCAAATATTTTCCTGGGTCTGTTCAGGTTGCCAAGTGTCTCCCTCTGCCTGCTCTGCAAAAATATTAATTGTTTATGTGTTTTCTTATATATGTCTGAAATTTGGCAGGTGGAATCACCTGGCTGATGGGTCAAATCCCTAAGAATTTCATCCCAATTTGATTGTATATTTTATTTATTGTCCACGCTCCAATAGTGAAGTGTGGATATCTAAATCCGCAGACTGGGGCTGGCCCACTCATTTCCCAGCTGTAGGAACTGAAACTGAATATACTGCACGGCCCACTTTAAATGTTTTAAATTGGTTTTACTGTAGTGATTTAATATTGTTATTTATTGTCTAATTGACTTATTTTAAGATTGTATTAAATTTGTTGTCGTAAGCCGCCCTGAGCCCAATTGTGGGAATGGTGGGACATAAATGGAAATAAATAAATAGATGACAGATTCCCCCCCCCTGCAAACTTGAGGACCCCCACAAGGCTTGAAGAAAAATCTGTTTTTTTTTAAATGGAAGAAGAAGAGAAGAGATTGGATTTATACCCCGCCCTTCACTACCCAAAAGAGTCTCAGAGCGGCTTACAAACTCCTTTCCCTTCCCCTCCCCACAACAGACACCCTGTGAGGTAAAATAATAATAAGAGGAGATTGGATTTATACCACGCCCTTCACTACCCACAGGAGTCTCAGAACGGCTTACAAACTCCTTTCCCTTCCCCTCCCCACAACAGACACCCTGTGAGATACATGGGGCTGAGAGAGCTCTGAGAGAGCTGTGCCAGAACTATGGCTCGCCCAAGGTCATCCAGCAGGTGCAAGTGGGGGAGTGGAAATCAAACCCGGTTCTCCCAGATTAGAGTCCGCGCACTTAACCACTACACCAAAGTGAAGGTGGGGAGGGTTGAAATCCTCTCCAGATACAAGAATATGTTGCCTGTGTTTGGGGAGTGTTGGAAGGGGCCAGAGGTGGCCCATAGAGACGGAAGAGTCCTGAGTTGTGAGGGCAGCGGCAGCGGCCAAAGCTGGACAACAGAAGCCAAGCAAGGCGCTCTTGGCACCACCTGGCCGCAGATGGTAAGTGGGGCAGCTCAGTGCAGAAACAGCACCCTAGGCTGGCTGAAGGACCAAGACAATCTCCGAGAGAGGAAGGAGTTTACTCTCCAACTCACCTTCAGCAGAGAAGAGCACAAGTGCCCTGAGGCAGCCCACCAATGCCTCTCCTCTGAAGGCTTATGGGCAGAGGGGAGAAGGAGAAGCTGCCACTCCCCCCACTCCTGGCTTCAGCCAGCCTGGCAGCAAGCATGCAGATGGGTGGAGGAGCAAGAGCCGCTGTTGCCCCCTCGTCACTAAGGAGTGGGGAGCCAGAGATGGGCAAATGGATGGGAACGGCTACTATCCTCCACCGCAGCTGTGTAAGCCACGGAGAGGTGGCAAAGGAAGGAGCAGCCACCGATACCATTAAGTGAGCTGTGGAGGGGTAGGCAAGTGAGGAAGGAGCCATCAAGCCTCCTCCCACGGGAGTTGCTGAATGGGTAGGTAAGTTATGGAAGCAACGGTTTTGCCAGCAGGCGAGCTGCCCAGCAAGTGGCGGGCTTCGCAGGCCAGTGGAAGAAGGAAATGCTCCCTCCGCAAGTGTTTGAGGTCCTCAGTTGTGTGTACCAACAGCCATGCGGGACTCCCTACTGCAGCTGCCAAATTCTCTATTAGTACGCACAGGTCTCTCAACACCAGGAATAAAGTTTCCAGAGGCTGGAAAGGGCTCTGGGGAGCAGGGAAAATTTGGGAAGATCCTGAACTATCGGCGCCTTTTCCTGACAGTTCACAGAATCCAAGCCACAGACTACATTCCCTAAAAACATTACTTAATTGGACGGGGGGGGGGGGGGGGGGAATGTAGCTAGAAATAGTTTCCCTCGAGAACAATGGAAATTGATTACAAATTACATTTAGTTCATAAATGCTTAGCAACAGGCTACACAAAACATGCATACATTGCTGTTTATACAGTGCAATAATAAAGCAAAGGAACACCTTTCTAAATCCACTGACGTCAGTGGACTTAGAAGGGCATAACTTTGTTTAGGATTGCACAGCTTGCAAGTATGATGGGCAGCTTCTGAACATTGTCCTTACTTAGCAAAACAAAGCAGAATATAAATCACAGCTGGTTAACCTGTGCAGGTAATCTGGAGTGGGTACCCCTTCTCCTCTGTTATGTTGTGCCAGGATCACTTCCCTTCTTCATTCCATGCCCAGCTATCTTTTTATCTCCTCAAAAGCCACTCATATTGTATTTCATATATTCCAGGGTTAAGCCTTGGCACTAAAAACAGATTCTAGAGCCGAGCTCTGCTTCAACTTAAGCTCTGGGGGGGGGGGGGCTCAATTGATTGCCTCTTGTGACAAAAATACCACTGTTTAAGAAAAGCTAGTTAATTAATTATATTTCTATCTTGCCTTCCCTGCAAATGGGCTTAGGTTGGGCTACAACATGAAAATCACATTAAAATTCTAAAAACATCAATTAAAATCACCATTTAACTAACAGTTCCTGAAAAGGTATATGACAGGTGATTGGCACATAGAAATATTTATCAAGGTTCTGTGTGGAGAGAGACTATCTTTGAGAAACAACACAATGGGAAGTCATACTAGATGGACTTGTATAGAGGCTATCTACACAGAAGCTCTTACCTTCAAGGTAACAGTAAATACTAGTACAGTGAACACCAGTGTCCCAAACGTCCAGTTTCCAAACATCTATGAGGGGGAAAAGACATGCATACTGAAGAAGGCCCAGGTAATGTGTTTTCATATATCAAATTGAGTCCACACACTTAAGACTTTAATGGGAGCATCAGCTACCACAATTGGAAGAGTTGATATAAAGCTTGCAGGCCATCTTTCATAGAATATGAAACTATAAACACAGTGAGTGTTTTCCTTTGATGTGCCCCCTTCATACCCCCACTGCATTCAGAGTGCTCTTAGCATTTGTCCTTTTGTAGCCAAAGGTACTTTGAAACCATCTGTTAAATTTTGAATCCTTCCCTTCCTCCGAAGACCTCAGAGAAGCATACATGGTTTTCACCTCCTCCACTTGTTCTGTGAGGTAGGGTTAGGGTAAAAGGGACTGACGCAAGGGTACCCAATGAATTTCATGTCCACGTGGGAAACTGAATCTAGGTTTTGCCAGCTGCAGTCCAAAGTCCTAAAACCACTACACCATTCTTTAAAAAGAAAAATCCTATAGACTTTGTTGAGATTGCGAATAAAGAAACAGAATAGTCAGACTATAAAAGCTTTACTTCACCTTTGACATCTGATACTCCCTGCCTATTCCAGGAATTCTTCATACTACTTTTATCATTTAAAAATTAGAAACTGACAAATGTTAGTTTGTACGGTTATAGACTGTTTTAGATGTATTGTTTTATTGGTTTTAATGTTGTAAGCCGCCCTGAGCCACTTCGGTGGGAGGGCGGGATAAAAATCAAATAAATAAAAAATAAATAAATGGACAAGGATGCAAGACTTATTTGTTTATCTCTACCCCACCCTTCTCCCTAATGGAAACCCAAATAAATTTCTGGAAATTTCAGGTTACCAATTCAGCAAAGACACACTGCTAAACAATAGCAATATTGAAATTCAGTGACTATTAGTTTAGTTGATGTGGAAATACAGGCTAGGGACTAATATGGACAGATAAGCTGCCCTCCCCTCAATAAAAGAATGTCTGTTAATTTTTATGTCTTCATAGAGGTGTGAGGCTCACAACTTTGGAACTGTGTGACAAGGAATAAAAATAAGAGTTATCTAGCAATTTCTGAAATCTAAATCAAAAGACACTGTATTTTCTAAATATGCGAAGGATACAAAAAGTATGAGTATAATGCTATTTGCGTAACTGTAACATTTCTGGCAGATGGGCTTGCATAATACCTTTAATAATAAGCACAGATAACTGAGATTCCATTGAGCCAAGTTGCTTCTTCCCACACAAGCGCCACTTTTCTGTGGAATTTAGTTCTTGGTGGAATCAGAGGATTAGTATTTAACTGGCTTGTCCTCTCTCAATTTGCAGGTATTATACAAATATTAAATTAATGTAAGTTGATGTCCAACACACCTTTCTAGAACAGTCTTCTATATTGGGTAATGAAAGAGGCACCCATCCCATCTCACAAGGTCATTTAATTATTTAACTTCTGGAGCCATCTTTAAAGGTAACTCAAAAGAGTGGCAATTAGATTAGTAATGTGGGAATAAAAATATCGGCCTGCCTTACAGAGCTTCTACAAGTATCAGTAGCATCACTTGACGCAGGAGTCAGCTCCTGGTACAGACAAGTGTGACCAGATGCAAAGCTATCCTAAATCCTGAGGCTCTATCTACTCTTGTCTCTTTATGCCCAGACAACCCTATACTTTTCGATAGGAAAAGAGCAGAGTAGGCATGGAAGACCCAGGGCTGAAGGAAATGCTGCCTGATTGGATCGTACTACTTGCCATTCTAGAACAAGACAAGTAGAAAACAGTGGGGGGAAAGGATAATGTCTCTGCAACGTCTTTCTTCCATTAGGGATCTGCTCACAGTTAAACACTTAACATGTGATGTCAATGGGTAGAGACATTTTTAAAAATATATATGAAGAAGACCAAATCCATACCATTCTGAGCTCTTTGAAGGAAGGGAAAGATACCAATTACCTTTCAAAATTACTTTATAAAAGCTGTAACAGTATTTTTGAGGACTGAAGCAAAATTCTTCAGCTTTAGGATACATTAATCCAAAACATATGCCCAGCAACTGGCTTGCCATAAAAATGAATAATATGTAACTGACATGTGTTGGTATGAAAATCAGTTCGCTTTCTGTAACTTCAAGCTAATTGCTGCTAACCAAAATCATACCACTATAGATAGCGAACAGCTACTGAAAGATGTAAAAAGACCCAAAATGTTGTAGACATACTAATATAAATATATCCAAAGTGTGAATTATATTATCTGTAATATAGTTTATAAATAACAACTGCAAGCTTTAGTCAAATAATTGGATGCTATTCTACGTGCACATTACAATTTAATCTCCAGTCAATTTGTGACAATTCAATTGATAGCTGAATTGTTTTTAAAAAAAACACAACCTGGACTAATTACTCTAAAGGGTCTGTTACTATGAAAGGCAAAAACTATACACAAGTTCTTCTCCCTGAACTACAATGGGATCTTAAAAACAGAAATGTAAAGACTGCCTTACTACTGTCTTCTGTTGCAAAGCCTCTAAGGCTTTTCTTCTAACATTAATAACTAAATAATACCGATAGAATTTGAATTTATTATTGAAACCTTTTTAGACCTGAGGTGTTACTTAAACAAGGAAACATTTAATCTTCTATAATCTCATATTTGATTAACAATAATTTTTCACAATAGTCTTTACTTGTAGCGATGATTAGGAGTTTCTGTTTACTAAAGAATGTGTCACTGAAGGCAAATTGTCCCATTCCCACAGGATCCTCAAACAACACCCTTCATAGAGCTGTTGCAGTTTGTAAATGTATTTAATTTTAACTGAGCAGCTAATCTCTTATTCAGGGAAAAGCAGACAGTTCACTATTAAAAAGCTTTTAAAAGCTGATAGCCCTTTAATATATGATAGCTGCAGAACGACACAACTTTGAAAGTAAGCATAATCTTTAAATGGACAAGTGTCGTTCAAAACAGAGTATCTAAAAAGCTGGAATCCTGGCTGGTAGCTGTATATCACTGCAAACAACCGAGCCCCTGGTTTTGTTTTCCTGCAGACTCTCTCCTCATGAGATCTGCTGTCAAGAGAATTGCTGCTACCATCGCCCACGACAATAATAGCATAACAGATGATAAGCGAGTGGCTGTATAGCAAGCCAATATTATTATTTAACAAGTATATTTTATCCACCCTCCCCCTTTCTCCCATCTTCACAACAGAGAGATTTAGGCCATTTCACTTAGATGTCATAAGAAAGGGAGCCCATCTCACTGGGAAGGTGGCAGAACAAAATGTAGAACTCTAAGAGATGGTACTTAGGTTTTGCCTACCAGCTAGGACATGTTTTGAGAGACTCTATCTAACTTCTGTTAAAAATGAAGGTACACACATGATTATGAATTCAATGTTCCCAGCATAATAAATTCACTACTATTTTCCTTAGAAGATGTCATCTCCTTATCCTGCTTTGTGACTCAGGTATCATAACTGCACACCTAGAAAGGTGTGCCTAGCACTATAATACATCTTGTTGTCTGGCTTAGTAATAGACTAGAAGGAAAACTGAACCAAGGCAGATAATACTGAGTTGGTATTATCTCATATATTAGTCATGACATTTAATATTACATGTCTTCAATGGCTGGCCATCACTGATTTAGATCATGGATCTGCAAAGGTTTTATTTCTAGACGTGCATTTTTAGGACACTTCTTTCAAGTGTTCAACATTCCTGTTTTATGAATGTTGCCTCCTTTCCAAAACTGACCATTTAAGTAACACATCTGGTCTTTTATTAAATATTAGATTAAAAATGCAGTAGTGAATTATTCTAATTTGCGCAAGGTGATATAAACAAAAAAAGTACAGTTAACTGAACAGGAAGGAAAGCTAACTGAAAAGTAGCAAGTAAAATATACACGTGTTTTTAAATAATCTCAATTGTTGCCCTGAAACAGCAAACTAAGAGAGGTCACAGCCATTATTTCAGCATGGCAGGACAGGGGGAAAAAACACTTCCCAGAAACCTGAATCTGATCTGTTCTGTAATTCAATAGGAAAAGTGGAAAACACACATCATGACAAAACCACAGTAGTCTTACCATGTGAGAGCTGACTGTCATTAGCTGAGGATAGGAAGAGAAGCAAGTAGCAAAAAAGGAAAAAAAAAAGCAAGACACAAATAAAATAGACCACATAAATGTTAACATGCAAATAAAAAGTAGAAGGACCTTAAAATTATACTTGGTGGGCTGGATACAAGGCTTTCAAGAATGTCTGCAGAAGAGATCTTGTCTGCTTTCCCACAGCCCCCCCCCCAAACCAGCTGTTGAGAGTCAGAGACTCTCCAGAGCAGTACGGCACTGGGGCAAAAGGGGGCTCCAGCAAGGAGGAAAAGTCTGTTAAAATTATCCCAAAAGTCTTTGGGGAGCAGAGGCTACAGAAGCCTTGGTTCTAAACCCAGGGCCACTTAAAAACAAATAGAACGCTTTGAATGGATCATGTATTCTGTCCAAATTAACAATGATACTTCTTGCTATATTTGAGTGCCTGTCTCTTAAAAAGGAAGTTATGAATAAGTCAAGCAATTGAAAATACAAAAGTATGCATTTACTGGCAAAATGAACCACATTAAAAATATATAGTCCCTATTAGACACGGGTTTCTCCTAAATGGTATTGCGTTTACTTTGCTAAACCCTCCTCCACATACAGAATGCAGGCTTTGCCACTCCCTCCCGTGCCCTACAAAAATACCAGCGTTTTCTATTTACAAATAATGATGTGAGCTTGAAATAAATTATGAAACAATGGATTCTACTGAACGAAGACAAAGAGCAACAGAAGTTTAATATTCGTTTTTTCCACTTGATTTTTCCAGAGCAGCTTTAATCTTGCTGGATACTAACCTGTCCATTGCTGGTCACCGTTGCGTTGTCAAACAAGAAATAGGCACCAAAGAAAAAGACCACAGCATCAAACACTCCCAAGAATGTCCAGTAAATAAATACACGCCAGCGCAGCAGGGCATTCTTGGCAACATCCCTGAGGAGCGACACAAATAATAATTCTGACATGTTTACCATTGCTTAAACAGAGACATGAGAAATTGCAAACATTTTCCTGAGTAACGGAAAGGTCCTATGAATTTACCCAGAATGTGTATTTTGGTGTTCCCTTCCTTGATGCCCAGTTCTGTGTGCATATAGTACACTTGTTCTGTTGTATCTGGTGCCATACTAACTAAGGTACAATGCATCCTTTACAACACCCCCCCACACCAGAATGAAAGCACTCGGATCCCCACTTCTGCTCTGCTGTGTCTGATGAAGGGAACTTTGGACTCTTCAAAGCTTATACCCTGAAACTCTTGTTGGCCTCTAAGGTGCTACTGGATTTGAATCTAACTGCAGAGCAGCACAGCTACCCTCTGAAACGACCTTCTTTATAAATTAGGGTTGCTCAGGGCTATTTTTGGGCAGGAACGCACAGGAACGGAGTTCCGGCTGGCTCCCGAGTTGGCCACACCCAGCAGGAACTCATTAGCATAATAGGCCACACCCAACAGCAGAAACTCATTAGGATTGGCTACATTAGGAGGTGTGTGGCCTAACATGCAAAGGAGTTCCTGCTACAAAAAAAGGCCCTGGGTTTTGACAACAAACAAGGTAAACAGAATAAGAAGCAAAAGGTGGGTGTGGCTGGATGACCACACTTCTGGTAACATGTGGGTGCGGCCTAATAGGCTAATGAGCTGTGCTGGCAGGGGTGTGGCCTAATATGCTAATGGGTTTCTGGTGTTGGGTGTGGCCTATTATGCTAATGAGTTCCTGCTGGGCTTTTTCTACAAAAAGAGCCCTGGGGTTGCTAACCTCCACGTGGGGCCTGAAGATCTCCTGTTTTTACAATTGATTTCCAGGTCACGGAGATCAGTTCCCCTGGATAAAATGGCTGCTTTGGAGGATGGGCTCTGTGGCATTGTGCCCTGCTGATGTCCCTTCTCTCCCCAAACCACACCCTCCACAGGCTCCACCCCCCAAATCTCCAGGTATTTCCCAGTCCAGAGCTGGCAACCTTAACCTAAATACACTGATTAACCCCATCTCCAGAATATTTGCTTCCACTTCACAATGGTCTTCTGCATAAGCTGCAATGACCTACAAAATACTAGATTCTATAATGAGAATATTACACACATCAGTCATATTATTAAGATGATTTATTACCAGTGATTTAGCTGACCTCAGAGAAAGAGATTAATGATTACATTTTAAGAGTATTATTAGAACGTTCTATTTAGTAACACGAAAGCTGAGCTTCAGTTAAGTTTTCACATGCGCCCTGTGAAGCCTAATAATTTGGTGGGCTAATACAAGCATGTCGGACACATCATAGTACAAGTCAGATGGAAAATAAATAGGAGCAGATTACCAGCTTCTCTTTACTGATATAAACGCATGAGACAAAATGAACTTTTGAGCCTCTCTTACAAATGGCATTAATGTGGAATGGGAAATTTTTAATTTTTAAAACAAGTACATGTTATACATCAATGTAAGTATCGCACTAAAATTGTGGGAAAGCAACATGCAAAATTTTTTAAAAGGGGGCGATGATTGCTTCATCCATATGCAAATTAATACAGCCTAAACAAGGATTCTTTGTTGGGCTACTTTTCCAAGAGGCTACGTGGCCACTACTCATTTTGACTACTAAAAGGATGCACTGATTTTGTATGCAACTACCCTTATAATCAGGTCATCCTCATAATCACTGATTTCTGTGTCCTCCCAATATCTGAGGTACTGTGCACATCAGGGCCTTCTCTGTGATGGCACTCAGATTATGGAAGCCCCTCCCCGCGGCAGTTCACTTTATTTTCCACCATGTAACCCCCATGTACCACCATGTAACTATTCAAAAACCATCTTGTTACATGAAGCACTTTATTATTGTTATTGTTTTATCTATGATCTTATGGTTTTTATCTGGTTTTATGAATGGGTTTATGCCCCCTGCCCTAAGCCCGCTCGTGGGGAGGGCAGGGTAAAAATGCCAAAATTAAAAAAAATAAAATAAATTTTCTACCTGCTGATTGTTAGGTGTCAACTTTCAGCTTTTGGGAAACAGAACATCTTCAAATCTGCTGGGATTGTTTTTTTCAGTTCTCTTCTCAAACAGAAGTGCATTTCAATATGAAGTGCATTCCACAGTCTTTGGATTACTAGAGTTAAGCAAGGTTCCACTAGCTTGTCTCAAGCAACCATCCAAACATTTTAATTAACTCTACCTGTACAGTGAAGGGTCTCTCTTGAGTGTTTCTGAACTGACATGCTGTTCCATTAGACTGTACAACAGGATAGGAAGTGAAGTGAAGCTGATATTGTACAGGGTAAGATACGCAGTATCATACAAAGGCTGTAGATGGAAAAACAGATTATATTAACCAGACATAATGTAATTTTAAGATACAGTAATGGTAAAGATATAAAAGCGGAAATGTTGAAGTAATACTGGAAAATCTTCCAAAGCGAAATGTCCAATATCCAATATCAACCTCCCAGCTCTCCAAATTCAACTAAATGGCACTCCTGCTTGTCAAACATCTGATTAACAAACTGGAATAAATTAGTTCCTTGTATATTTGAAATGAGCACTGGGTAACCAAATGTACAGCAATTCCAAATAGCATCTATTTTAGAGAGTAATATAAAAAGAACAATTGTTTTTTATGCTCCGCTTTTCTACCCTAAGGAATCTCAGAGGGGCTTACAATCATATTCCCTTCCTCTCCTCACAACAGTCATCTTGTGAGGTAGGTCGAGCTGAGAGAGTTCTGAGAGAACTGTGACTGGCCCAAGGTCGCCAAGCTGGCTGCATGTGGAGAAGTAGGGAATCAAATTCAGTTCTCCAGATTAAAGGCTGCCATTCTTAACCACTACACCACACTGACTCTCATAACATGTAAACATATGTTTCACTTTCCCATTAAGACCACTGGGACATTAAAGTGCTAATATTGTGATTGTGGGGGGGGTGATCAATCTCACAAGTTATATTATTTGTGTAGTGACTGCTTTTATTACTTGATAACTTTCAATATAATTCAGTTTTTAACAGATTGCTGTCACCTCAGACAATTACAACAACAACATAAGGCAGTGGCCATGGTCATCTAATGGGTTGGCAAAGAAGAACAATATTCTCAGGTGCTCTTGGCTAACATAGCTAATAGCCTTAAAGGCAAGGAACAGTAAGTATATTAAGACCATACTCGAAGAGTCGGACTCGACTGTGCGACTGAACAACAACACAAAAACATGCTCACACCCAAATTTTGTATGCTTGAAGTAATGAACCTCATATTGGTTGTATAACAATGAATAATGAACTGAAAACTGAGATACAGGACTAAGCTGGAGGATTGTGGTTTCTTAGTGTTCCAGGGATAAAATCTCATTCTAGTAGATCTCAAGTATATGTATGCTCCTCCCCTTTACTGTGGAGGGAAGAATAGCAATGTTGATTTGAAAATAGTAGTCCCCTGACCTAAAAACTCAAAAGCCCAGTTGTTTCAAGGACAGCTATCCTCCATGATGCTAAATCATCCTTGATTTTGGTTACCTAGAAGTCTTACAGAATAATTTTGGCTGACAGATAGTTGACTAATTCTGTGGCATGGATACAATATCTACAATGGGGTTCCCAAATTTTTTGAGCCTGCAGGCACCTTTGGAATTCTGACACCACATGATGGCTGCCATGGGAGGTGGAGACAACCACAAAACGTGAGGAAATGAGATAAGGCATAACTCTAATTGTAACTGTTCAACATTTCAGGCATATTGTTTAAGATCCTTGTGCTGTGGTGGCAGCATTTTGCAGGCACAAGGAAAGGCGCCAATGGGCACCATAGCATCTTTGGGGACCCCTAATCTATTCAAATTTGCTTTAAGCAAGAAATATTTAAAATCCTTCTGGCCTGATAAAATATATTACAAAATACTGCCAGTTCAACAAGGGGGAAAAAAATATGTTCTGACATACCTGCTGTGAAAACCCACAGAAGAATTGGTATAAAAACTGAGGAAAAATGAAGCAGACATTCTGAAAGACAAAATGAATAGATGTGGTGTATCAGTATCATACGATAAAACTGAAGAGAGCAGCTACATGGAATCAAGCATATATTAAAGTTTAACTGAACTTAACATTTAGATTTCAGTAAGAAGGTTAACTAACATAAAAAAGAAAAAAATCAGTACTATGTAGAATCATCATGGTAGTGGATGGAAGTCATATTTGTAAAAACAAGAGGGGAGCAATGAAAATTAGTGCATAGATTTTTCTCATGCATATACAAAGGAACTATAGATGGAGATAGATACTGGGTTCATGCATAGTAGAAATTGCAATCTATGGAGAAGAGCAAACAGATTTAAAAGGTCAGGAGATCCCAGAACTGTGATGCAAGCGACTGTTAGTGGTCTGGCAGCAAAGGAACATCATAAACAATGCAAAGTCAAAAATGGCCTCTAAGTTGATGAATCTGAATTTTTTGGCACCTTCACTTTCTGTATTCAGGAAGTTGTGTCAACTGGTGAAGGTGAGTTGTTTTGGCAGTTCTGGCATATGTATTTTTATCTTGTATCTTTTATCTCTAAAATTTTTTAGAATTTTGTATTGCTTTTCACTATAAACTACAAACAAAACAAGAAATTTTTGTACTTTCTATTTGAAAACTTATGTCTTAGAAATTAAATGATATATTGTAA